GTAACTCAATAAAAATATCACACTATTTCCGGATTATGAAAACTGAAGATTGGTTAAAAATAAAAAAATAACTAATAGAACCATATTTAATTAAATATATTAACTTAAAACATTTATTTGATATTTAACGTTACGAGTTTTCAAAAATCAACGTATAAAGACTATATCTATACCACTTTTCATTTTTAGACACAAGTGAATAAGAAATAACAATTTTCTTTTCTTACTTGCTTATTGGTACCCTTGAGGGTCCATAGCGATGTCCCCTATACGTGAACCCAATATTCAGTTTTAACAATTAACCAGTCGTCCCCGTACTCCATCTGATAATGGGCGCAAAACATTCCATCGCCTCGATACCCTGTTCGGTATGAGAGTGAACTATATCTCCCAAACCCTTTCGGTAAGGGACTTTCTAGCCCCGCTCGGCCGAGATAACGTTCACGATAGGGTCCCCTATGTACCAGGCCTGTTTACCCTTTCTCTGGATACCCAGTAAGTCATTCACATAAAGATTTCCATCAATAAAATAGCTAACAAATACATATCAATATCTCATATTATATTTATAGATCAATTAGACAATATTTATACAGATGATATAGTTTATCATAACAAATAAACAAGTAACCATATAACCAAATAAACCGGATAAATCAAGAAGACCATAGAAAATTTATAAATTAAGAATATGGGCGATATAATAACAAACAAGTAGGGCAGTACACAAAAATAAATAAGAAATAGGACAATTGTGAACTAACTAGTTCCGACTCCACTAGTGACCTGTAATTATTTTTTAAAATTTTTTTAAATTTTCACAAAAACACAAGATTATACTTTGTTAAGCCTCAGTTTACTATAATGGAGAATAAAGTGAGGGATCCTTACCCGGATCGATATTTCGAGATATCGCATTGTCTACTATGCCTCCTAACGGGTCCTGAATTTTTTGAATTTTTCTTACGAAATCTAAAATACTCCTCACGTACTTAAAAATATCTTAAAAACCTAAAATTGATGTCTAAAACCCTTTTTGTCCAATTTTAGAGTTCCAGCAGAGCGGCATCGCCATGCTCCAGAGCCAGCTCTACCGTCACAGCGGTGGTTCGCCACAGCCTGGCTAGTTTTTGCCGATTTTACACGAATCCCTATGAAAAATATGTTAAGAGACTTCGGTTGGCCAGAAATCACAAAAAAATCGAACCTATCGGTGGAGTGGAGGGGAGGGGGGGTCTTCGGGTGCGGTGACTCTACCGATTCTCCTTCGCAGTTGTGGTTCCTTCTTCGACTAACCTGCACAAAAAAAGACAGAGAATAAAATAATTAAAAAATCGCGTGAAACAGGAAGCGGGAAGGTTCTTCTTCTCTAGCGGGGGTTGGCAGCTAGGGTTTGGGTTCACTTACGACACGAGGTATATATATCCATCCCGCGTCGATCTTAGCCATTCATTTGCATTGATATGGAGCGAGGAGAGCCATCCGATCATTGCTTATTTAGGTCGATTACATGACGAATCTGGACCGTTCATCACGATTGATCTTATCCGTCTGATCACGCCTAAGGAGGGAATAAATTTGAGCCGTTCACACGTGCAGGATCGAGCCTGGGCCATTGAATCGCTGGGCATGTGGATTGCCCGTGTGGCTTCCTGCGTGGCAGCGAGGTCAGTGTGTTTTGACACGTAACATATTCTCGTTTGTCGGGACTGCTGACTAGGCTGTCCTATGTGGTTAAATTTTTTTTTTATACTTTGAACTCTTGTCTCTAATTTTTCTTTCAAAAACATCATCTGAACTCAAATTTTTACTAATTTTTTTTAAAATTATTTTCAATCTCGTCCCTAATTTATTTTTTCTCAAAAATTTAATAAAATAAAAATAAATTAAATTAAAAAAATATTATTATATAATTATTATATCATTAGTCTAATAAAAAAATTATCTCGACCTGATTTTCGGGCCTGAGTATTACAGTTACTGTTTACGAGGATACTGAGTATATTTAGTATTTAATTTTTTTGAAATGTTAATTTTAATTTTAATGGGTAAAACTTAATCTAAACATATTCTAAAATAAAACTAGTAAAACAAAAAAGGAAAGAAAAAAAAATTAAACTCTTACTTTGTTTCATACTAAATAGGATAATATTGACAACAAAATTAGGAAAAAAATGTTTTAATAATTTAATAATTAGTTAATTAACATGTATTATAGCCACTAAACACTACGATTGAGTAGTGGATTAAAAAACTAACAAAGCACATCATATCTATTTAACTCATGGGCAAATCAAATTTTAATTGACTTGGAGGAGAGGATGTTTGCTTTAATTTAAGGCAAACATGTGATTAATTCAATTTTTTTTAAAAAAGTTTGTTCTTAAATTTTGTAATTTTAACACCCAAATTTAATTTTAATGTAATTTAAAATTAATTTATAAACATAGTTTTTTAAATTTTTTAATTTTAATTTAGTGTAAAAATGAAAAAAATTTGATGGGGAATGAAATTGAAAACAGTTTTGGAAAAAAGGAGTGAAAATTTAGGTTATGGAGGTATTTTTGAAAGAAAAATCAGAAACTGGATGTCAAAATACAATTTAGAGATATTGTACCACGTGGAATGCCCGGTCAGCAACCCCGATGAACCAGGACGTGCCGCGTGGCAACAGACACTGACGCGGTGCCACGCGGGCGATCCACATGCCCATGATCGAACGACCCAGATTCGCCCCCCTGCGCACGGACAGCTCGGATGCATTCCTTCTCCAAACGTGATCGGACGGTCAGATTTAAATGTGATGGACGATATAGATATGTTTTTTATTTAAACGCGATCGGACGGTTCAGATTGGATCACAATGAACGATCCAGATTCATTCCCTATTTAATCGCAATCGAATGGTTCAGATTAAACGCGATGGACGACCAAGATCAAAAAGAGATGAGAATAAATAACTCATTTTACACCAAACCCTAACACTAGCCGCCAAACCCGCCTCGCCGGAGAAGAAGATCCAGCTGCCGGGAAGGAGGCCACTGCCACCCGCCGCCGCGCCGAAGCCATTTTCGACCACCAAAAGAGGTAAAAAAAAAATTTTACCTTGGAATTCAGTTTTAAACACTCCCATGGCCAAATCGGAGAAAAAAGACCGACGGATTGATCGAAAACTGCAGGTAACCCTCGGCGGCACTGCTGCAGAGAATTTAACAAAACACCTCCGATGATGCCCTTCCTGATTCCCGTTTTGCGTAATTTTTCTACCATTGTGATCATCGTTTCCTTCTCTATAGGTTGACTGGAGCAAAACACCCAACTGCAACGTGAGCCGGAGGAGCCGTCGCACTTGAGAGCCCTGCCTTCAGTGAGTTTTAGTTTTTCATGTTTTTTCGGTCAACCGATGCCCCTTAACGTGTTTTCTCACAGGAATTGATAAAAATAATGCCCTATTTTAATAAAGTTTTAATTTTTTTTTATGAAAGTCATACAAGCTTATTTTCAATCATTTTACAATAAAGCTACATTTCTTAAAATTAAAAAAGTATTTAAAATTAAAAAAGTATTTATCAATTAGTTCCATGCAAATAGTATTTATTTCATTTATATTATGAATTTGCGTACTCTTTTAGGAGTTAATTGTATGATGAATGGTTATATGATGGAATTAAAATAACTCCAATATCTATTACCTTCCTCGAATTAAAAGTAATATTGTATGGTCTACAAATGATATAGTAGTGAGGCTTACAATCCATTGAAGTGAAAAATGCTAGCTATGGTTCGTAGGACAATTTACTTGAAATTGGGATTGATTGATGACCTAATTTCACTAGGTTCATTTGTTTTCTTTTGTTCATTTGCATGATTTTTAGAAACTTTAATTTAGGTGTAACACCCAACCTTTCTTTTTTATATTAATTATTACTTTTTATATAAATATAATTATTATTTATATGATTTTAATTTAATTTATTTAATTTTAATTTAATTTAATAGAAATAATAATAATAATAATAATAAAAAGGGTAAAAAATATTGGTTAGGGATTTAATTGAAAATAATTTTGGGAAAAAAAGGTGAAAATTTGGGTTCTGGAGATATTTTTGAAAGAAAAATCAGAAATCGGGGGCCAAAATATAATTTAAAAAAGTTACACTACGTCAGCTGCCCGGTCAGCAGCCCCGACCAACCAGGATGCGTTAGGTGACAGAGATGCTGATGCGGGAGGCCACACAGGGAGGGAGCCACGTGGGCGATCCACGTGCGCGCGATTGAACGACTGAGATCTGTTCCCATGCGCACGGAGACCCTGATTGCATCGCGCACGGACGGTTTAGATTAATCGCACACGGCCGGCCCAGATTGAATTGCGATAAACAGTCCAGATTCACTCCCTATTTATTCGCGATCGGACGGTCCAGATTAAAAGTGATGGACGCCCTATAACAAAAGCGGATGGGTATAAATAACCCCATCCGCACCCAAACCCTAACCCTAGCCACT